CCCCAAAACCCCAAAACCCCAAAACCCCAAAACCCCAAAACCCCAAAACCCCATTTTTGAAAAAAATTGTTGAAATTAAAGGTTATTGACGAATAAAACATTTCTTTTTCTTGACTCAATAGCAGCAAGCCCAGTCGGGAGTATGGTCTACTAAGAATGGGACTATTTCATGTCCTTGGCTTATATGACATCATTCACTGCATGCCTCACAAAGCCATTTTAGGTTACAAGTGTTACACTTGAAATAATCATATTTCTCTCCTTGTCCTTTAACAAAATCGACTTTCATACACTTCTTTGGCATATCAGATTTCAACTTAATAGTCCCATAAATCTCAATAGTAGATCCATTCTGAATACCAAGTTTTTCTCTAGTAGTGAGCATGTTATTGACTTTCATAGTCTTGCCAAGGACTTTGTCTGGGTCCATTCCTTCATCTATATCCCACTCATTTTTGTCTTCTTCTCTCTTCCTAACAACTAGAGGGCCTCTGATGTAAATCTGAACGTCGTTTCCCCATTCCTCAACAGGATCATTCATATCCTTGAATCGATCAATGACTATTCTCTTAATATCATTCATGCAATCATAAGACTTCATAGAGATCTCCTTGAAAGAAATATTCTTGTTGCTGACTTTTACAGTCACTCTGACTGGAAGTGCCTCAGGCTCAGGAATAGCAGACCCTCTATAAGTTAAGAAGCAAGGTAATTACACTGCGTTCGAGTAGTTCTGAACAAGCATGTCAATGACCTCTCTAAATTTCCCCTCTCATTCAGTGATACTTTGCTGCTTTTCAGACTCGAGAGTCGCTTGGAAGGCTTCACCCTCTTCCATGAGCTTAATGGCGAACTTCTTGTCAATATCTTCGATCAGCTTGGACTTCTCGTCCAACAAAGTTTGGTAGTATTTCTGATATTTCAATAAGCCTTCTCTCAAATTTAGCAGGAACACCTATGAAAGGTTAATATTTTGGATGGAAAAATCTGACATTTTAGTAGAAGAAGGTAGAATTCTGAGGACAATCTCTTGAGAACACTTACAGTCTCGATCGGACTCTTATCCTTGACAATTCCTGCTTCATCATCCTCGTTGTTAGCAATCTTATCAAAATATTTCTCAGACTCAGCCTTCTTGGCTTCATTAAGTTGGTTTAGTAGGTCCTCTAGCTGGTAGTTCCGGATGACTTCCTCAGGTTGGCACCCCTCATTACAATGAGGGCACTGTTTCTTCAAATTCAGGCACTCAAAGATACAATCCTGACAGAAAGAATGTCCACATTTAGTGATATGAGGAGTCCTAAAATGATTCATGCACACTAGACATTCAAACTGGTCTAATATAGGATCAACATTGATTTTCAAGTTATTCTGTCCTTTTTCCATTTTCACGATAATTAATTAGTAAGAATTACCTCCGAATTTAAATTCACAGCACACAAAGGGGTTTTGGGGTTTTGGGGTTTTGGGGTTTTGGGGTTTTGGGGTTTTGGGG